CCTGGATCTCACTCTGTAGACCAGACTGGACTTGAACTCACAGAGATCTGCCTGGCTCTGCCTCTCAAGTGCTGGAATTAAAGGCATGCACCCAGCTTAGTTAGGGTTTCTATTGCTGTGATGAAACACCATGACCAAAGCAAGTTGGGGAAGAAAGGGTTTATTTTGCTCTTGGTTCATCTTTAAAATCACTGAGGGCAGGATATTGGGGTCAGGAGCTGTTGCAGAAGGCATGGAAGGGTGCTGTTTACTGGCTTGCTCAGCCTGCTTTCTTACAGAACCCAGGACCACTAGCCCAGGGATAGCACCTGTAGCCAATCTTTCTCTGTCCCATCTGCCAGCTCCCAAATAACCACACAGAGACTTCTTTTTAATTATAAAAACTAGGCCAATAGCATAGGCTTGTTTCTAACTAGCTCTTATAACTTAACCCATTTCTATTCATCTGTGTGTTGCCCCGAGGCTCATTTACCTCATCTATGTACTGCCTATCCTGCTCACTCTGCGTCTCGTGGCATCTCCGAGTGTCTCCGCCCTTCTTCTTCCTAGAGTCCTCTCTGCCTAGCTATTGGCCATTCAGCTTTTTATTAAACCAGTCTGAGTGACAAGTCTTCACACAGTGTAAAGGAATATTTCACAACAAGCACCACCCACAATGGGCTGGACCCTCCCCGATCCGATCGTCAAGACAGCCTGATCTGATGGAGGCATTTCCTTAGTTGAGCTTCCTTCCTTTCAGATGTTTTTTGTGTCAAGTTGACATAAAACTGTACAGCACTATGTATCCCTTGTTTTGACAAATGAGGTACCTGCCTGAGTGCTGGTGGCTGTGTTTTGTTTGTTTGTTGTGATCTCAAAATTTCACTATGTAGCTCTGGCTGGCTGTCCTGGAACTATGTAGACCAGGCTGGCCTCGAACTCACAGAGACCCACTTGCCTCTGCATCCCAAGAACTGGGACTAAAGGTGTGTGCCATTATGCCCCAATATGGTGGCTGTTTTTAAAGCTTTTGCATAGGACCAAGCTCTGAGGTCACCCCTTCCCTCTTAGATCTGTAGACTCCCACCTCTATTTCCCTAACCATCCTGGCTCACTTCCCTCTATTAACTGACTGTCAACTAGTGCCCTAAATTGACAGTTTCTACAAATCACTGCTAGATGCAGCAATATACTTGAATCTCACAAGTACCAGGCTAAGCTGTAAGAGCCTGACACTGAAGAACCATACTGTATAGCGCATCATATGACAGTTTTAGAAGAACCCAGATAACTAACCTAGAGTGACAGGAAATAGATCCAGGATTTCCTGAATTTGAGTCAGGGAGTTGACTTCTAGTAGTAGAATGTAACTTTGGGGAGTAATTAAAATAGTCCCTAGTGGGGGATGAAGAGATGGCCTCAGCAGTTAATAGCTCTTGCTGCTCTTCCTCAGGACCTGAGTTCAGTTCCCAGCACCCATGTCAGACAACCCACAACTACCTGTAGCCCCAGTTTCAGGGGATCCAACACCCTCTTCTGGCTACTGAGGGCAACTCACTCACATGTACACCATGCCTTACACAGCCACATAAAAATAAAAATAAAATCTTTAGCCGGGTGGCAGTGGGGCACGCCTTTAATCCCAGCACTCGGGAGGCAGAGTCAGGCAGGTCTCTGTGAGTTCAAGGGCCAGCCTGGGCTACAGAGTGAGATCCAGAAAAGGTGCAAAGCTACACAGAGAAACCCTGTCTTGAAAACCAAGTAAAATAAAATAAAAATAAATAAAAATAAAATAAAATCTTTAAAGTTGTCCGTATTAGCCTCCTGGAGATGGCTCAGCCTATGCCAAGTCTGATGATCTAGGTTCAGTCCCCAACATACAAGTTGGAAGGATAGAATCAATCCCTGTAAGTTGTCCTCTGTTCTTGATAAGCACACCATGCTGATGTTCTCCCTCTCTCTCTCTCTCTCTCTCTCTCTCTCTCTCTCTCTCACACACACACACACACACACACACACACACACACATACACACACACACACACACATTCATGCATGCACATGCACACACATAGTAAATAAATATAGAAAAAAAATCCATATTCTAGCCAGATGTGGTGATGTACACTCCTTTTCCCAGCACTCAGAATGCTAAGGCAGGAGGATTGCAAATTTAGGGTTGGCCTGGACTCCTGACTGAGTTCCAGTTTAGCTTTGGCTATATCTCAAAACAAAAACAAAAACAAAAACAAAAAGCAAACAAAACAAATGGTCTCCAAGTGAGCTGATTGGGGCTTCCAAGCAGGCCTCATTTCCTGATGGACATCCCTGAGACTTGGCTCTCATGGCCAGTGCTGTGGGACTCCTTCCATCTGTCACAGCTGGCTGGTCACATGACCCGGGCCAGGCCTGCCCTGCCCTGGAGTTTTCATAGGAGAACTTAGGAGATCTAACCAGTCTCTTGTTACCTTACTGGCTGTGCAGCCGAGGGGCTGCCAGCAAGCAGGTTTGTCCTGTCCCAGAACAGACTCACTATGAGTACTGCTGCTAAGTGTTTCTCTCCAGATTGGAATGGGTATGGGCTACAAAGTAATCACTCCAAACCATGAAGCCAAACCGTCCATCAGCTTTGCTGTCCCTGTGCTCCAGAAGATTCCAGGGACAGGACTTGGTCTAAGTAGTTTAACAGTGCCAGGGAGGATGTGAACAGAAGGTGGAGACTCCACAGCCAGAGTTACTCAGACGTGCCATCCAAGCCACAAGTGGGAGATACAGGGTGAGAGGGAGCTCACCTCCCTGTGTGTCACTTGATATTTACCGAGCACCTCTGTGTCCCTGAAACTCATCCAGGTGCTGACAGGACAGGTGTTTTCAAGGCCAGTGAGGTCTCTCTGCTGGTTGTGACATCTCCTTGTTTTTGTTGTTTTGTATTTTAATTTTTTTAGATTTACTTATTCTATTTTTATATGCACATGTGTTTTGCTTTCTTTCTTTCTTTCTTTCTTTCTTTCTTTCTTTCTCTCTTTTTTGTTTTTTTCTTTTCTTTTTTAGACAGGGTTTTGGGACTGGAGGGATGGCTCAGAGACTTTGAGACAGGGTTTCTCTGTGTAGTTTGGTCTCACTCTATACACCATGCTGGCCTCGAACTCACAGAGATCCGCCTGGTTCTGCCTCCCGAGTGCTGGGTTTAAAAGGCATGCGCCACCACTGCCCCATGTGTTTTGTTTTCATATATGTATATGAATCCTATGTGTGCCTGGTGCCCCTGTAAGTCAGAAGAGGGCCTTGGAGCCCCTGGAACTGGAGTAATAGATGCTTGTGAGCCATAGCATGGGTGCTGGGAACTGAACCCAGGTCCTCTGCAAGAGCAGGCAGTGCTTGTCCTTGCTGGTTTTGTCAGCTTGACCCAGCCAAAGTCATCTGAAAAAGGAGAACCTCAACTAAGAAAATGCCCCCATAAGATCTGGCTGTACGCTAGGCAGTGGTGGCACATGCCTTTAATCCCAGCACAAGAGAGGCAGAGGCAGGCAGTTCTCTGTGAGTTTGAGGCTAGCCTGGTCTACAGAGTGAGTTCCAGGATAACCAGGGCTACACAGAGAGACCCTGTCTTGAAAAAAAAAAAAAAGATCTGGCTGTTTAGTATTTTCTTTATTGATGATTGACAGGGGAAGGTCCAGCCCATTGTGGGTGGGGCCATCCCTATGCTGGTGGTTATAGCTGGAAGTTTTCCTGTGTCCTGCCCAGTCCTGCAGCAGCTCAGTCCCAAGGAAACACTTTATTAATTACTGTGTGGCCTATTGCTCAGGCTTCCTGCTAGCTAGCTCTTTTAACTCAACCCACTCCTATTAAGCTATGTGTGGCCATGTGGCCGTGACATTACTGGTCTGCTGGCATCTTGTTGCTCCTTGGGCAGTGGGCTGACATCTCCCCTGACTCCACCCTTCTTCCTCTCCATCTTCAGTTTGAATGTAGCGCCTAACCTTATTCTGCCTCACCATTGGCCAGGCAGCTTTATTTATCAACCAATGAGAGCAAAATATATTCACAGTGTACAGAAAGACATCCCACAGCAGGTGATCCTGGGTTCTGTAAGAAAGCAGGCTGAACAAGCCATGGAGAACAAGGCAGTAAGCAGTATTCCTCCATGGCCAACACCAGCTACTGCCTCAAGGTTCCTGCCCTGCTTGAGTTCCTGTCCTGACTACTTTCAATGATGGACAATTATGCAGAAGTGTAAGCAAAATAAACCCTTTCCTCCCCAACTTGCTTTTGATCATGGTGTTTCATCACAGCAATAAAAACCCTAAGACAGTGCTCTTAACCACTGAGCCATAGGTCTTGCCCTTCTCCCCCTGTTATTTCATTTTATTTTGTTTTGTTTGAGACAGGTTCTCATTATGTAGCCCTGGCTGGTCTGGAACTCACATAGATCCACCTGCCTTTGCCTCCTGAGTGCTGGGCTTAAATTCGAGTACCTCCATGGCCTGCCTTGTGATGCCTTCTCACACTGAAACAGTAAATCAACAGAGGAGAAAAGGAACAGTTCCCAGTAGCCATGGATACACCCTGACAAAGTAAGACAGACAGCAGGATGAACATGGCTTCGGCAGAGAGCAGGCGCCATGGGCAGGGCAAGGCCTAGCATTTGAGGCGAGGCAGAGAAGGGCCGAGTGGCTGGACCTCTTTCCCTAAAGGCTCCCAGGCAAAAAGGAGTTTGGGAGATTAGAGAAAGTCACTGTGGCTGGGGTACAAGGAGCCCTGCTCAGCCATTTCAGGAAGACGTTGGACTGTTATATTTTGGTTTCCAAAGACTGCTGTTAGCCATTATGTAGAGAATGGAGCGTAAGAGGTAAATAATGGCAGCAGGGGCCTGGGGACGAAGCTCACTGGCAGAAAGCTCACCGAAGCAAGGCCCTGGATTAGTTCCCAACACCAAACACACACACACACACACATACACATATATATACACACACACAATGGATCTGAGGGAAGGAAACGTTGTTTATATAGTTGTGGTTTTAATGAATTTTTAATTCAATTTCACTCACGGATATGATGGATTTTGATCCTATTCACCCCCCATTGCCCTCTTAGCTCTACCCACTCCTCCTGAACCCCTTCCCCTCCTCCTTCTTCTGTGTGTGTCCTAGTGAGTTTAATTAGTGCTGCTTGCACGGCCATGAGCACCAGGTACACAGGTGGTCCACTTGCACACATGCAAGCAAAACACCCACGCACATAAAGCAAAAGTAAATACATCTCAAATGGTAAGAATGGACAAGATGACAAGTGGAGCCTTGAGATATGAGACGCACTGTTACTTTTGGTGGACCTGAGTCCTAACCTGAGTGTCCTGTCCCTAGGGCCAGTGCTCCAAGATGGGTTCAAGTTCTGCTGAAATTCACTCCCCTCACTATTTCTAGTGTCCCAGCCAAGACTAACAAGATCATAGATCATTAGGATTAGACTTCTTGGAATAATGTTCCGAGTTAATCTACCTGCTCCTGTAAGCAAGGTCTGTTAGCTACTAGAATCAATGAATTTTATACACAGAAGACGTGGCTTCTCCTCCTTCTCCTCCTCTTCCTCCTTCTCCTCTTTCTTCTCCTTCCTTCTTTTTCATCTTCCTTCTCCTCCTCTTCCTTCTCCTCCTCTCCTTTTCTTCCATTTAGAGACAGGGCCTCCCCATGTAGCCCAACCTGGCCTTGAACTCAGGATCTTCCTGGCTCTGCCACTCAAGTGATTAGATTGCAGGTATGTATCACCAGGTCTGGCTCTGAACATAGTCCTGGGCAAGGGCAGACACTGGGGGGCTCTTTTCCATCCCTTTGCTCTCTGTTGTGTTTACGGTTTCTGTGTGTGTGTGTGTGTGTGTGTGTGTGTGTGTGTGTGTGTGTGTGTGTGTGTGAATGTATGTGTGTCTACTTCATCTCTCTCTCACTCTCTGTTCTAGCTGGTGTCTTCCCCTCCCATGTCTCCATTCTCTTAAGTTACACATACACCTGGCCCATTAGGGCCACCCCATCTTAACCAGAACCTCCCACCTCCATCTGCCTTAGCTACTCTAGATTCCCCAAAAGAAAATCTGGTAGCCCAGCTTGTGTTTTCTCTTTATTCAAAACTATTTTAATTGTGCATTTGTGTGTGTGTGTGTGTGTGTGTGTGTGTGTGTGTGTGTGTGTGTAGGTTCCCCCGCAGAGGTCAGAAGATGGTGTCAAGATTTCCTGAGGCTGTAGTTACAGGTGGTGGACCTGTGAGCTGCCCCGTGTAGGTGCTGGGATCTGAACCCCAGGCTTCTGATAGAACAGTTAGTACTCTAACCCACTGGACCTTTTGTTTGATTTTGGGTTTGTTTTGTTTTTGTTTTTATTTTTTGAGACAGGGTTTCTCTGTATAGACTCAGCTGTCCTGGAATTCACTCTGTAACCAGTCTGGCTTTGAACTCACAGAGATCTGCCTACCTCTGCCTCCTGGGTGCTGGGAGTCTGTATCTCTAACAAGTTTCTCCTTAGTGGGCAGTTTCTATCTATCCAGACCCTTCTCTTTTCTCTCCTTTAAGGTCTATGATTTATTCATGTCTGTGTCAGCATACTTCTGTTCAGACGCCTGATGACGATGTGGTGTCAGATCCCCGGAGGCCAGACTCGCAGGCAGTTGTGAGCCCCTCTGACACTGGGCTCTGGAAACCAAACTCTGGGCTACTGCAAGAGCAGCAAGTATGCTCTCCTCTGAGCCATCTCCGGCCTCTCAACTCACATTTTCATCCTAGGCTACAAGCACTGACCAGGAACGGGCGTCATCGCTCCTGACATCTCTCCAGAGGATACTGTTATGGCCGGTGAGCTCAGGAAACACATGTGCAGCGTGGCAGTCAGAGGCAGCTGGGTCCAGGGGCGCCAGTCTCCAGGACATGAACAGATGGACAGGTTTGCTGAAGTGTCTTCTAGAACAGCCTCCCCATTAGGTGAGGGAGCTCTCTCTTAGGCTGAGAATTTCCTAGGGGTAAGAACTTGTGGCTTGGCTTGTTCTATCCCTCTGAGCTCTCAGTTTTCACCCCAATATCTGGCTCCAGGTTTTTTATTAATAAGACCATTTAGCTATTCATATTACATCTCCTTAGTGAGTGGTTTTTGCTCCTAGGACCTCACTTTGAGCAGTCAGAGTCAGTTTGTCTCTTTTAGTTCAAAGTGGCTTACATTCTGAAGAAGTTGCCCCCCACACCGCTTTTTTGGTATGTATGATTTTGTGGGGTATGCATATATGTATGTATACATATTCAAATATGTGTAACTGTCCATCAGAGCACATGCCTGTAGAAGCCAGAGGTTGATGCCAAGTGTCTTCCTTGATCACTCTACACCTGACACATTAGAACAGGGTTTCTTTCTTTTTTTTCATTTTTTATTTTATATTTATTTATTTATTTATTTATTTATTGGTTTTTCGAGACAGGGTTTCTCTGTCTAGTTTTGGAGCCTGTCCTAGATCTCCCTCTATAGACCAGGCTGGCCTCGAACTCACAGAGCTCCACCTGGTTCTGCCTCCTGAGTGCTGGGATCAAAGGCATGTGCCACCACTGCCCGGCTGCAGGGTTTCTTATTTGAATCAGGAACCCACCAATTCTGCTGGCCAGCTTGCTCCTGGGGACCCCCTCTATCCTCATCCAGAGTACTGGGGTGACAGACTGGGCACTGTGCCTGCCTGTCATTCATATGAGTGCTCATGTTTGTGCAGCAGAGCCATTTCTGCAGCCCCTAACTCTCCCTTCTAAAGGTGCTAGTCCTTTTCTGGTATGTGAACAGAGTAACCAGTGCATAGCATGTGGAAGTCAGAATCCAGTGTGCAAGCTGGGCACACTGGCACCCACTTTTAATTCCAGAACTGGGGAGGCAGAATCAAGAGGATCCCTGTGAGTTCGAGGCCAGCCTGGTCTACATAGAGAGTTCCACAACAACTAGGGCTGTACAGAGAGACACTGTTGCTGTGGGATGTTCTGTATGGCAAATGTGTTGCTCTGATTGGTCAATAAATAAAACTCTGATTGGCCAGTGGCTAGGCAGGAAGTATAGGCAGGACTAACAGAGAGGAGAAAAGAAAGAACAGGAAGGCAGAAGGAGTCACTGCCAGCCGCTGCCATGACAAGCAGCATGTGAAGATGCCGGTAAGCCACGAGCCATGTGGCAAGGTATAGATTTATGGAAATGGATTAATTTAAGCTATAAGAACAGTTAGCAAGAAGCCTGCCACGGCCATACAGTTTGTAAGCAATATAAGTCTCTGTGTTTACTTGATTGGGTCTGAGCAGCTGTGGGACTGGCATGTGAGAAAGATTTGTCCTGACTGTGGGCAAGGCAAGAAAACTCTAGCTACACACTGTTTCAAAAACCAGAGAAGATACGCAGACAGCTACATAGAGAGAGACCCCTTCTCTGCAATCCCATCCAGGGGTGATCATCATGAGAGGATTCCCCCCACACACACACCCCAGGTAGTCTCATGTAGCTCAGGCTGGCCTCCAACTCACGATGTAGCCATGATGCCATTTGACTCCGGATTCTCCTACATTCTCCTCCCTCGTGTGGGGACAGCAGACACAGTTGGCTGATATGAAGTATTTGGGCACTTTGCTGACTAAATGCAAGTTCATCTTCTTTTGCTGTGTTAGAGAAATCAGAACACTTCCCAAAACTAATACCCAGTGGAGAGTAATTTCTGCTCTGGTGTTCTCAGGAGGCGAGCAAGGTTTTACATTTCCGAGCAGACCCCTCAAAGGTCATAAGGACAGGGAATGTTTGTAAAAGCATCTCCAGTGCTTCTGTTCCCAGCCCACAGATCCCCTGGGGACACTAGACTCTAGTAAGTAAAATAATCCAAGCTGTGGGAGAAACAGCAGGACTTCTTAGGTTGGATGCATCACAGCCTGGGTATTGCCTCCAGACCAAGGAACTGGGTGCTGCTTTTTGGAGGGGTTTTTGTTTTTATTTTTAATTAAAATGTATTATCTCTGGAGCTAGAGAGACGGCTCAGCAGTTAAGAGCACTCTGCTCTTCCAGAGGTCTTCAGTTTGGTGCCCAGTACCTGACTCTCACTATCTGATGCCCTCTTCTGGTCTGCAGACATACATGCAGACAAAGCACCTGTATACACTTAGAAGAAAATCTTTAAAAAAAAAATGTGTGTGTATGTGTGTGTGTGTATGTGTGTGTGTGTGTCTGTCTGTCTGTCTGTGTTTGCTTTCTGTTGCTGTGATAAACACCAATACTAAAAGTGCTTTAGGGAGAAAAGTGTTTAATTTATCTTGTACTTCCAGGTAAAGTCCATCACTGAGGGAAGTCTAGGATAGACTCAGTACAGGAACCTGGAGGCAGGAGCTCATGCGGAGGCCCTGGAGGAGTGCTGCTCACTGGCTCACTCCTCATGGCTTGCTCAGCCTGCTTTCTTATACAACCCAGGACCGCCTGCCCCGGAGTAGCATTACTCACAGTAAGCTGACCTCCACACACAAACCATGACATATACATATACACACTAAAAACAAATGTTTAATTCCAGCACTTAGGAGATAGAGGCAGAGGCAGGTGGATCTCTGTGAGTTCCAGGCCAGCCAAGGCTACATGGAGAGACCCCATCTCAAAAGAAAATTAAATATTAAAAAAATGAGTAAATAAAAATAAATGTGGGCTGGAGAGATGGCTCAGTGGTTAAGAGCACTTGCTGTTCTTCCAGAGGACCTGAGTTCAATTTCCAGTAACTGTGTTGGGTGGCTCACAATCTCGGGTCACTCCAGCTTAGGAAAACCAACACCTCTTCCTGCCTTGCACGGATACCCACACATACTGTCTTCTCCTGCCTTGCACGGATGCCCACACATACTGTCTCCTCCTGCCTTGCATGGATACCCACACATACTGTCTCCTCCTGCCTTCCATGGAGGCCCACACATACTGTCTCCTCCTGCCTTCCATGGAGGCCCATACATACTGTCTTCTCCTGCCTTCCACGGATGCCCACACATACTGTCTCCTCCTGCCTTCCATAGATGCCCACACATACTGTCTTCTCCTGATTTCCACGGATACCCACACATATTGTTAGACCAAATCAGGAGAAATCTACCTTGCAGGTTAAGAGTACTGTTTGCAGTTAAGAATAAGTTCCTGTCTGTCAGTTATGGGTTTTGCCATTTTAAACCTCTGCAAGGAGTGACTTGTGGCCATTTCCTGGGAATTCTGGTGTGGACCTGCCCCGAGAGGCCATCCACCTGGCCAGTATTTAATTAAAGCTTGCTTCAAAGTTGGCTTTCAATGGTGGCAGTCTTGTTCTCTGCCGGTGGGACTAACGATGTGTATAGTACACACACACATATAAAGATAAAACCAGAACTCAATAAATGTAATTAAATTTTTAAAAAATATTTATTTATTTATTTATTTATTTATTTATTTATTTATTTATTTATTTATTTATTTATTATGTACACAGAAGAAGGTGCCAGATCTCATTACAGATGTTTGTTAGCCACCATATGGGTGCTGGGAATTGAACTCAGGACCTCTGAGCCATCTCTCCAGCTCTGAAAAATTTTCAAGGCCAGGCAGTATAACTGTTAGTAGAGAGCCTTAGCACCAAATAAACCAGCCACAATGGAATTCATCTGCAACCCCAGCGCTGGGGATTGTTATGCCCAGATCACAGAGACCCCCAAAAGACTACCACAGAGACTGAATCAGGCATGTAAAAGCCTTTATTATCTTCAAGCTCCGAGCTTGGTCTCTCTGTCCGATACAGTGGTGAGAGCAGAGAGAGCTCTGAGCCCAGGCAGGGTGGGATTTTTATCATAGCAGAGGTTGGGGTGAGGGGATTTCCAGGGTCCAGGACCCTGATTGGCTGACAATTGTCTAGGGTATCTGTAAAGCAAAAATAGGTGTGTGCTAGACTCAAGGACATCTGGCCACCTTATCTAGTGGTTGGAGTGTTTGGGATGTCAGGTACTTCTTCATCCCTGGGTGGACCCCTGGGTGGTATCAGCTTAAGGCTTTTCCTGGATCTGGGTGTTGCCTACCAGTAAGCCTGTCACAGAAGCTGTGTCTAGGCCTCTAAGCCTGTCATGGCTGTTGTGTGGTCAAGCTGTTTTGGGACCTCTCCACAGGAATCTGAAGTTCAAGGTCATTCTTGGCTACATAGGGAGTTCAAGGACAGCCTGGGATATCAGAGACCCTGTCTCAAACAACAATTTTTCCATGAGGCTCATTCAACTTTTCAGTGTTACAGGGGGCTACCTCATGGAGAAAATCAGAGTAGAGCCAGAGGTGGGGCTCCCTCTAGAGCTGGTGTGCCCCAAGCTAGTCACTGAAGACGTGGAGAAAGCTGGGTCAGATCCATCCCAAAAGTCCTAAACCAGGGCCCCATCCATCAGCTCTGAGCCCGGGAGCCCTTCCTCTTCCCCTTAGTCTAAGGATCCAAAAAGTACTCAAATGAAGACCAGAGGGAAAGCATCAGGGCAGCATCTAGTTATAAGATACCAAGAGCTTCACCTCATCCTTGCCAGGGGCATGTAGGAACTTTAGCCGAGCCTCAGAGGAAAGCCACCGAGAAAACGAGAAGGAAGGGAGAAGGAAGCCGCAAGAGGGGAAATCCTAGTGAGCAATGAGTGTGCAGAGAGGAAAAGGCAGGCTTTCTGAGCCAAGTACGTAACTTCCGTTAGAGAGGGGGCGTGTCTTTAGGGAGACCCTACACAGAGCATGATTAGCTTTGAAGATGGTCCTCAGAGCAAGACAATAACAGAGATTAAACAGTTAAGCAGGATTGGTAGACTAGAGTGGGCTATAGGGGATAGGATCTGGGGAATCCCAGGAAAGAAAGGACTAGAAGGTTAAAAAAAAAAGTTGGGGACAGTGAGTGGATGTGGTGGCGTACGCCTTTGATCTCAGCCCTAGGGAGGCCTAGGTCCACACAGCAAGCCCCAGGGCTCTATAGAGAGATTTCATCTCAAAAAGAACAAAGAAAGAAAGAAAAGGAAAGAAGAAAACTGGGGAGAAAGTAGGCCCTGGACAGAGAAGAAAATAAGCATTTTTTTAAAAGATTTATTTATGTATTACAACATACAGTGTTCTGCCTGCATGTGTCCCTGCAGGCCAGAAGTCACCAGATCTCACTACAGATGGTTGTGAGCCACCATGTGATTGCTGGGAATTGACCT